ATGTAACAAGCATTTTCTGTATAACCTCGATCATGTTGACTGGTGGAGAATACTGGAAATATTGTCTGGCAAATGGGCATCGCAAAAGGTTCAGGAGCTCCGGTGGGATTCAAACCCGTTCGGATCATATTGTGAGATAATTAGATGGAAACATACGTGATGTGTCTCAGTAGAGTGAGAAAGATAGATTTAAGTGCATCTTTTGGACTCCTTCTCTCCAGTAGTGAAGTATTTTTCGATTTGGTTTTACACAGTGACTTTATATGGGTCCGAGAGATAAGGATACGGCTGAATGTGTCTTCCTATTTAGCTACACGAATATCAATGGAAGACCAGTCGTCAATGTCGGTCACTCATTTCACANGCAATACTACTCCTATGTTCTTTTTTGGATGACCGAGGGACAGTATACTTGTGACCTTGCAGAGCATCGCTGCAATCAAACTGTTTAGTACAAAAAAACAAACCAGCACGAACCAAAGTTTAAGCGAGAAACGTACGTGACTCGTAATGAGTTGAACATAACCATTCTAAACTGCAAACGAGATAGCAGAGCTTCTCAAGCCCTACCAGATAGTTTGGTTGACTATAACACAAAACGGCCTATAAAGATCGAAACTATACCTATTCAGCCTCATAAAAAACCTTTGTAACTGCACTAGGCTATTGAGGGTCTAGGCTGAACTCACTCATGCAATTATTCAGGTCTGCATTCACGCCTGAGCACGGTGACCCATTTGTCAATCTATCTTGACGCGATTCGCTTCCTTAAACTGTTGACGGAAGGTTTATTATGGGAATAAATTAAAAGTTCATGCTTTACTCGTCCCATAGGTCCGTGTTGTGATTAAAAGACAGTAATACATACAAACCATTGAGTAAAATGTCATTTGATACGTGCTTCTTCTACTGCTGCAGGTAGCTTCACTCATATGGAAATGAAAGATGTGCTAATGTTTCATCAAGTTTCAGTTTGAAAGATTCAATGCTTGGCGCACCGGTGACTTCGGGTGAGCGAGAGTTCCAGATCAAACACACAAACGGCATTTTGAGGCCACCAGTTTAAACGGATGTTCTCCAAGATAAACATTGGGTGATAATTATAGCAGTGGGCGACACAGAGAGCTTGGGCTTGGGCTTGGTTTTGTATTGTTTGATACACCATAGTCATGTCTCCTCTGATACACCTGTAGTGATTGGAATATAAAACCAACGAATCCAGTCTATCTGCTTTGGAATAGCGTTTCAGCACCTTAACCATTACAGTGGTTATCCTTTGTGGATGCTCTACCATTTTGCAATCATGTTGTAGCCATGGATTCTGGGTAGCGTACTCTGTGAGTGGACGAATGTATGTTGATGGCAGACAGAGGAAAAGTACTAACTTTAACCCGTCAAAGACTCGCCTGAGCAAACCGACATTCTCTACAGCCGCGTGCGACCCCCTGGCGCAGTTGAGTGAGAAGTTTAGGTTTTCTCGAATGATGATGACCATGTCCTTCTCACTTGAGGTATGTGGCGGTTGTTCATCTTCGAGGAAATACCAAAATTGTCCCTTGTATTGTAGAGATAGAACCCCAGGTTTTTCCCTTTTTAATTCAATATTGTTCATCGGTATCTGTAGTATTTGTTCATTCGGACTAGACAGGGTTCCAGACAGACACGGTTTGATCGGTGACCTTTGTCGGTTGAGGCACCAATCATCTTATGCGGTTTCAAGTGGAATGCGATTGGTTGGATTCACTTGAAGCTACAACGGTTTCATCTGAAGTTGAAAAGGTAAAGTGAACAGGAATTTTAGTACCTCACACGATTCTCCCTGCCACTCATAGATCTCCTTCTATTGTGAGTCAATCATCTGTTCCTAATTTTCCTCAATGTTTTTCTTCTGAGTCTCAGTTTTATCGGAAGCCGATGTTATTTGTTGTACTTACATCACGGCCGCTGATCACCGGCTGGATGCTGCACGCACTGTCCTTCACGAGTATACTAATTGACGAGTGTGGTCAAGCGGTCGAGCCGGAGTGTTTGGTTCCTATCGTTCGAAATCCTTCGCGTTTAGTTCTCGTTGGTGATCAATGCCAATTGGGTCCGGTGGTTCACTGTCAAGAAGCGATAGATGCAGGATATGATATGAGCCTTTTCGAACGCCTTAAAAAGCTTGGCGCACCCCTGGTCCGATTAGACGTAAGTATCAACAACAACCGTCGATCAGAAACACTGAAGGTTATGGCTGTGTCGTAAACTCAAAATTACCAAACCTTTCATACTGCTTTTTTGTTTATAGAATAAAGTAATGTAGAACAAATTTTCAGGAAAAGGGTCCACGAATACAACATTCCTATCTGAGGGAATGCGACAAATGAAGGAGCGTATATTCACTCTATATCCTTGCAATTTTGGCTAATCTGAATTGTCCGTTTTCTCCTGGACACTGTTCTCAACATTCCAGTTTTCCTCTTGCAGCTCTATTCAAATGGGCAGCCCAAAAATCAACAACCACAACCATTGCATCAAAGTACAGGGATAACGATTTTTTTATAACTGTACGGAACTAAACCACCGCAAACTATGAAAGGATAAATTCTTTTGTAGCTTCAGTTGTGTGTGAATGGAATCCGAACAGTTCCAAACAAATTCCACCGGTATTCACGCTAGCTTTGTTTCACTAGTGACTGTCATGTCCGTGATGTTGGCGAATCTTGCCGTGGTGGCACATGTGCAAAACGAATTCCATCGTATTCAATGTGTAAAATTCTGGTGGTACTCGGTGCCGGATCGTTGTCGCCTTAATCTTGATTTTAGCATTTTGCCAAGACAAATATTTCCAGATATAAAATTTGTCTATTCTCCTGGAAATATCATTCCTCAACTCTAATGGCCACTTGAATGCACGTTACAGGGAATAATTATTGCAAATTGAAGTGGCTTTCAGCAAAATAATCCTGAATTCTTGGACAAGATCTACATCTTAAACCGCTAGTCCGTAAAGTACGGCAACAACTCAAACACTGTTACTTGCCGTAGGGGAAATTGTTC